TCGTCACCCAGGTGATCAAGATCACTGTCAGCATGTGCCCTTGATATGGCATGATGCACATACCAGCTTATTTGTGTTCTTTGCCCACAAATTTATAGTCAACTTCTAATCAGAAAACTCTCCACTGAGTTATAAGAGCCAGTTAGAAACAAGCCTAAGCTAAGACCGAGCTTTCATAGTTCATAATAAGTCTCCATGTTATTTTATTTTATTTTTTTTTGTGAGCTGGTGGCTCAAAGAAAAATCCACCTATAATGAGCCCATTCCTCCATTTGTCTCAGTTAGTGCATTATCTCACTAAGAAAAGGAAACTGGGGCTCTCGCCATACAATAATTTTAAAGATTTATTGTATTTTTAAAGTGTGTGTGCACACGCATGCACACACACACACACACACACACACATACACGAATGTAGATATCCACAGAGGACAGAGGCATTCATTCCCTCTGTCACTTGAGTTACAGGCAGTAGTGAGCTGCCCAGTGTGGATGCTGGGAACCTAACTGGGATTCTGTATGTGCTCTTAGCCACTGAGACATCTCTCCAGTGCCTCTCCCTGTTTTTATATTTTCAGTACATAGTAGAGTTGGTGCCAGTGTCAGTTGTGCATGGTGTATATGGTAAGTTGAAGTTCTCTGTTAGATATTAGCCACTGTGTATGCTTTCTAAAGCTTACCTTCCCTTGCTTAGATATTAGTATGAGAAAGAGTGAAGTGCAGTTAAATATTTATGGCAGCTTCCTTTGACCTTCAATGGGCTTTCTTTTGGAGACCAGGGAGAAAAGACAGCAAGTAAATGGCCATATTTCTCTGTCCTAAAACCCATGCTTGTCTCCTGCTAAGCATTGGGCTTCTGATTTTGACATATACAGCTATCTTTTCATCAGCATTTCCTTCTTCCTTCTACAACAATGTGTCAATTTAAGAAGTCAAAGTACTTCTAAATAATCTATATACCCAGCATCTAAGCAATTCCTCATATGCTACCCCAACTCTAAGGTCTCTTTGTGAGCTTATAAGCAGTATGCTCCAGGGCTCTCTGTTTGCAAGAGATTAGTTCTCTTGCTGTCCATGAGGCTATCTCCAAGTTCACCTGTGTGATTTATATTTAATCCACACTTAAGACCCCCATGAGTTGACTAGATTGCCTGACTGTTGGATTCAATGATAGTCAAAATCAAGGGCTGACACTTCCATAAAAAACATTTGCTATGCCTGAAGAATTGGCTCAATGGTTAAGAGCATGTGCTATTCTTGCAAAGAACCAGAGTTCAATTCCCAACACCCACATCAGGCAGCTCACGACCACGTAAAATTGCAGCTCCAGTGGATCTGACACCGTCTTCTGACCTCCAAAGGTGTCTACATACAAGTAGCATTCATTTACACAAACACATACACAGATGTATAAATAAAAATTAAAAATCTAAATCTAAAAGGAAATGCATTCAAGTCATCCAGTTGTACTTGCTCCAGTTCTATCATATAGAAACATTACACTAATGAACTCTTTTGGTATTAGATGCACTAACCTATTATGGATACTGTGGAGAAATACTATCAAGACTCTGGTCTCAGGATATCCTACAATATAAGTAATTTTGACTTTTAGGTCAGGCAAATTTTTGGTTATCATTGTGACTTTGATTATCACAGCACTGAGGAGACAGTCAGCCCTCATGAGACAGATGAAGTTGTGGAAGTTTAAAAGCTGAGGTAAGCCTTTAGAAACACATTGACCTTACAGAAGGTGTGACTGTGGACTGATTAAACCCTTCTCTACACCACTGACCATCAACTCAGGGAGTTTTGTTTTGTGGTGTTCTTAAGACCTAAACATCGTCTCTTTCCAGTATGTATTTATTTAACTTTGGCACAAATTAACATTCTTAGGGAGCTGGACTTTCCATCAGGCTCTAATTTATAGAGAAATTATTTTTCCTTAATGATTATTATTGATTGTTAATCAAGGGAAGTGAAGAATCAAGACAGGAACTGGTGAGATCAGAGGACATTGGAGTGAAATCAGAATTTGTCTCAGAATATCCAGAGGGGAGACCAGCAGATCTGTTTGCCTATTTGTCTACCTATCTCTCCATGTGAGCATATAAATTATTTCCTTACTTTCTTTTTAGACTTCAGACTTCAAATGAAAGTCAGATAGTGACTAATAAGACATGTGTGTCCCGTCTTCTGTGTCTAAGGCTGTTACTCTGAGTTCCTTGCCTCACAGCAGTGCTTAGCTTTCTACATAGGAAACCTAAACCCTAACTGTGTGGCCTCCCTTCTTCCTGAGATCCTCTCCATTCTTCTGTGCCTACATTATTTATCAGGAAAGAGACTCTCTAAGGTGTTGATGGAAGTGTTTTGGGGACGAGATGGACAGTGGCTTGGAAAAGGAAATGAATTTCCTGTTGGTTCAACTGAGGATAGATGAGGACTTTGAAATATGTTTGTCTCTCACTCGTAGTCATTTTCCTGAGAGATCCTCACTATCAGTAAGAATTATAACCTCTGAGATGCTTTCCCTAATGAAATTCTATTTTAATTTTGATAATGTAGCACTCGATTAGGAAGACTTTAATTGACTTGCTTTCTGGAGGTTTAAAATGATTTTGAGTTTTTTTTTTTCCTAGACAGTAGCTCAGTTCTTCAGAGTGAAGCAGTGTGGTCCCTGCCTGGGCTGGTTCAGGTTCAGTTCAGGTCATCAAGTTATTTAAACAGTGTTGGCTGTGGTTGTGGGCAGAATCCCTTCAGCAGCTGACCTGAAACCTCCAAGCAGGTAGAATGACGTGTCTTGGATTGCAGACCACTGTGGTTATTAGTTCCCAACCCTGAGTATTCCTTAGGCTCTGGGCGTTCTATAAGTCCTACACATGAGCCACCTGCCAGACCTTGAACACCCCTGTGAACATTACTCCCATTGAAGAGGAGAGATGACTGAGTCTCAGAGAGGATGACTAGTTTGTACAAAGTCTCATAACTACTTAATAAGGCTGGAATTTGCATCTGAAATTATGCCCACTTCCAATATACTGAAAGTATACTGAAGGTGACAGAAGCACTCAGAGACCCAAAAATTCCTCTCAATCACTGTCTCTTTCTAATTTCTCCTTGGGAGGAGGGGTGGGAGAAGGTTACAGTTTTTAATATTTAGACTGTCTCTAAAACTGTAGTATCTGTTGGCAGAGATCAGTATCTGGTGTTTTAATCACTTCTTTTATTGCAGTGACAAAATGGCTGAAAAAAAAACTCTTAAGGCAAAAGGGTTTATTTCGACTCACAGTCCAAGGGTGCAGTCTATCATGGCAGAGAAGACATGGCAGCAGGAGCCCAAGGCAGCTGGTCATAGTGCCTCTGCAGCCTGGAAGCAGAGAGAGATGAATGCTGGTACTCAGCTCCCTTTCTTCTTGATATTCAGTCCAGGGCTCCAACCCACGGGATGGTCCCATCCATAGTTAGAGTAGATCTGACCTTCTTAATAAACCCAGGCTGGAAACACTCTCACAGACACATACAGAGATTGAGTTCCGCAGTGAATTCTAAGCCTTAGTAAGTTGACGATCAAGAGTAGCCACCGTACCTGCCAGGAAAGATCTTCTAAATGGCTACAACCCATCAAATTAAACTTCATGGATTGTGAAATGAACCCTTAATTTGTATGTGTAAGCAAGAAGAAAATTACATTAATTCAAATGATTTGATGAATGTATATATCATTATTAGTTTCTTGTAAAAGTAGGTCCAGATTCTACCAAACTTCAATTTGTATAGTTTTTCATTCATTTCTACACCAAAAGGAAAATTTTATTTTTATGTGTCTGTATGAATGTGAGTGGACCATCCAACAGTCTGTGATCTTGGGTGGAATAAAAGAGAGGTCCTAGTGCAGATCTTCCTTCGCTGCCCAACTGTGTGCCATTCCATTCCTCCCACCCCTGAAACTGTGAGCCAAAGCAAGCCCTTCATCCCTTAAGTTATTCATGCCAGGGATTTTGTCACATAAATGCCAAGTTTGATTAACATTGGCTGACCCTTTGAGATGTGGCTGCAAGCATTGGATTCTTTCCTGTTCTTACCTGTCTCCTCACTGACACCCAGATTCAGGGAGTCTGGATCAGTCCCAAGCTGGCCTCTCAGCCACCAGTCTGGGGTCCAGGAGCTCCTCCTTGTTCAGGTCAGATGTTTCTGTGGGTTTCACCATCCCGGTCATAACCCCTTTGCTCATCATTCCTCTCTCTCTACAACTGGTTTCCAGGAGTTCAGTTCAGTATTTAGCTGTGGGTGCTGGAGCACTGTCTTTTCTAAGGCTCTTTTTGCAAACAGTAGACTGGGAGACGTCAGAATTCACGGCCATATGAGTCACTCTCTTTTCTTCATCTCTGTCTCTGTTTCTGTCTCTCTGTGTGTGTGTCTCTTCTCTCTGTTTCTGTTCTGTATGTGCCTGTGTCTCCCTCCCTCCCTCCCTCCCTCTCTCCCTCCCTCCCTAATTCCCCCCTCCATTGAATCCAGTCTTTCTGAAATAGAAGTGTACCCAGAACTAACTGGTGAGTTTATTAAACAATTGGATTAGATATCCTTTTAGAGTAAGTGTAGGGTGGGTCTCAGACATTTGCATTTTAAAGAGATTTATTGGTCATACTGATGCAGCCAGGGTAGGAGAGAAGGAAGAACTTTTGAAATCATAGACTTGCACAATCTCAACCAACCTGCTGCTGTGCTGACAGCTATCCCAAGATCTCATTGATTCTAAGGGGCAGTTTAATTTCAGGATATTAAAAGTTGAGAATAATGTGCAACTTTGCATTGATGGAATGTGATAAATCCCATTTCCTTTCAGTTTGAGCTGTGACATCATTTTCGGTCTGATTGATCATCGATTGACTTACATTTAATTCACTCATTCATCTATTTCTAATGTTCTCTGCTTATGCTCAAGATGAGCTGGAATGCTATCTACAGTTTTATCTAAACTTTCTTCCCTGCATTGTTTCCAGCAAGGATGAGGTTTGCTTCAGGCCCTGTCACATATATAAGGAGAGTGCAACCCTGCAGGCTGACATGAGCCACTCTGGTTTGGAAGTCTTTGTTGTAGGAGGTAAGGTCTTATCACCTCTCGTTGCTAGATAGTGCTTCTATGCCACAACATAACCATACTCAGGAGGCATTATGAGACAGTGAGCCATCCTTGTTGGGAGATGTCATTCTGTAAAAAATGTGTCTGGTTGGTTTGAATAAAGCACTGTTGGCCAATAGGGAAGCAAGATAGGTGGGACTAGGAGTTGAGGAGGATTCTGGGAAAGAGAGACACAGACAGTCACAATGTAGCCTCCAGAGGAATAAGAGGTCTGGACCCCTTTCTCTGGTAAGAGAAATACTTAGATTAACAATTATGGGTTAAATACTTAAGTCAGAGCTGGCCAGTAAGAAACAAGCAAACGGCCAACAGCTTCATAATTAATATAGCGTCCTGTGTTATTTGGGGACTGCAACTGTGGCAGGGCCCAGGCAGATGGCAGGGAAGGCTACACTCTACACATCCTGAAAACAGATTAGTTAGGATCAGCCTTTACTGTTGGATCCTACTGTGTTTCTCTTACATGAGTCTGGTTGTCTTCATGGGTAAAGTTTGAGCAGATCAATTTTTCAATTTTTGCTTCTGCTTCTATCCTGGTTTGTTTTCTGCTGCTGTGATGAAACATTGACCACAAGCGATGTGGGGAGGAAAGGGATTTTTCAGCTCAATGGTAGGTGGACCATTCTACTTAACCTGAATATTGTGCTGTCTATAGCTTGAGTCTAAATGGGCTGCCATATAGAGACATCACCAAGTAGATAGCTTATGGAAAATAGAGACTTAGCTCACAAGGTTCTACAGGTCAAAAAGACAAGAGCACAGTTCTAGAAGCTACTCGCCAACTAGGGTTCTTGTCCTGGCTTCCAGTTAGCTGTCTTCTTGGTGTTCAATCTAAAGTCAGAAAAAGAACAGGAATTCTCTGGGACCTCTTTAATAAGGGCATCAATCCCAATTCTGGGGACTGTACCCTCCTGACCTAATTACCTCCCTAACACTCAGCTTCTGATATCACCACATCAAGATTTAGGATTTGGACACATGGCTGTGGTGGGTGTGAAAATGCAGCCTTAAACTGACTCAGTACTTGGCACACACATAGGATATTTCTTCCTCCCAATGCCCCCATCAGTTTAACCACCAACCTCTGTTGATTGTACCCTTTTTTCTAATGACTCATCTCATCTTCACTTCTCCATCTCCACTGGCAATTCTCCTTATTCAGTTGTGATCAGGTCTCTCCTGGATCACCCCTGCAGGCTTCCAGCTGCTTTGTAGGCTCTATCTTTCCTGACTTCCCTCGAAGTGACCCTCTACCGGATTACTTCCTATTCTCCACACCTCTGTATGTTTAAATTTTTCTGTCCCCACAATTCCCTCCTCTACTTTTATTTTACTATGTCTCTGGATTCCACATATACTTGAAGTTTAATATATAAAATGAAAGATCCAAAGCTAAGATTCACATATGAGAGACTATATAGTGTTTGTCATTCTGGGCCTGGGTAGCCTTATTCAGTATACATTTTTGCCAATGAGAAACCTGACTTCTTTGAGTCTTGCCTACCCAATTCCAAAATGTCAATCTTTTAAGATTTCATTCTCTTCAAGCAGGAACTTGAAGATCATACTAGGACAGATATTAGTTGCACTTGAAATAATATTAAATTGTGACAAAATATAGAGCATTTGGCTTCATCATGTATTGCCACATCTATATTTTGTCTTTAACATTGTTATAATCCCATCCCATAAATAACCCATTGTGGTAGGACTCAACATTCACATGCTAGTAACTGATCCCGTATTTAGATCTTCTAATTCCTAACTTGGTGCTCATTTTCATGGTCAAAGCTATCCCATAACAGAGGTTCTGTTTCATGTTTAATATGTGAACCACTGAAGAATTAAATGGAGAGGAACCACAACAGCATCCCAAGGGCTGTTCTATCCATTCAGTGAGTGGACAGAATGATCTTCCTCTGATGTACTGTTCACTTAGATAAAGATGGTGATCTTCTACTGAACTCCAGCTGTGCAGGTTCACAGATGGGGAAGTCAGGACACCAGTTTAAGAAAACAGCAGGAGGAGCCATCCTTCCTTTTGGCAATATCCCCTTTTTTCTTTCTTCTTTGACTGTTTTATCTCATTTGTCCATTTGCTTGAGATAGTAACTGCTTTATTTTTAAGGTTGCAATCAATAATCCTGAAAATAGAAACAATATCAGCAGCTGCTGACATTTTTTATAGAGGTAGAGAAATCCAATGAACACACTCAAAGTTTTCTTCAGGAACGAGGTGTGGTATTTATTTGTTCCTTGTCCTGGGTGACCTGGGCTTTCTACCCTACCCAGGGTGCATCACAAAGCTGGCATGGGAGGGAGGAATGGCCGTGCTTAATTGAGGAAGAAGTAGTAACCCATCACCTGATCTGTTATAGGTGACATTTGCCTGGTTCACTAGGCAGCAGTTCTTTAAAGGGTTTTGAGGAATTGCTGCCAACAGCCTTAGTTTAACAGCTGTGCTGGGCTATCAAGGAGAATCCAGATGTGAGGACATTGGTAGGAAATAAAATCCACTCAGAGGAGGAGAATAATGGCTACCCTTGTGAGCCTAGCACTCCTGGGTCATTTACCATGTGACAGAAAAATACCAAAGGGGATCTGTGGGCATAAACAAACAGCATCCATGAAACACTGAAGTTGGACAATTAACAAGACCTTTTATCAATATTTTGACTGTCCCCCATTATCTAATTTCTGAGACATTTCCTAACAAATCAGTGGTGATGTGTACCGTGCATTCTTTTCCACCAGCTGCCTGGGTCCTGCTGCTATCTCAGACCCCAGATAACACATGAGACACTATATTAATTATGAAGCTGTTGGCTGTTTGCTATGATTTGTTAATGACTAGTTCTGACTTAATTATTAACCCGTAATTGCTAATATATATTTTTATAAGGTCTTACCTTACCAAAGACACAGCCTCATGCATCCTCTCTTCCTGGGATCACAATGTGGCTCTCCACCCTTGACTACATTTCCCAGAATCCTCCTCAGCTCCTAGTCCCCTATCTAGCTTCCCTATTGGCCAACAGTGCTTTATTTACAAACTGATAGGACAACATATACACAGAAGAACTTCTTCCATCATCTCCTTTTTTCTATCTAAATAAAAGAAAGGTTTTAACTTTAACATAGTCAAATTATATATAACAAAACAGTTGTCAAGTAAGAACTATAGTTAAACAATATTTAGTCCAATAACATTTAGTAAGACTTCAAGTAGTTTATCATCTATCCTATTTGTGTGAGTCTAAAGTCTTATATTTAGCTTATCTTTTATTATAACTAAGGAAAACTATAAGTATCTGTCTTCAACTCCATCAGAGACCACAGAAGATAATATATAAACACAAGAATTGACAGAGACATTGCTACCTGGACTGTCACCTGAAGTTCCTCTGTAACGTTGGGGCATCCATCTTCAGCCCATAGGCCACAGTGTGTCTGGAAGACTGCTCAACAAAGCAGGAAATTTTAAACTGTCTGCTTGCATTAACAGTTTGTCAGTCATTTTTTTGTGTGTGTGTCCTGTAGAATGTCTGGCAGACTCTACCATGAAGCAGTAACCCTTTAGGACTGTCCCATCAAGTTCAGCAGTCTCTTTCCTGTGGGTACTGCATGTCCAGTCTATCAAACAGCAAAGGTAAGAGCAGTTTCTTGCCCAAATGGCTAATTTTGCCATATTGAAAGCAAACTCCATTGTGAGTTTCTTCAATGCCCATCTTCCTCTCAGACATAATTGGTGTGTCAGGAGTAGCTGTGTCTCACTATCATGAAAAACTCTAAACCGTTTAAATGCCATATATTCTGTAGATCTTTGAAAGGTTTGAAGAATATATATATATGTATATATATATATTTCAAATGCATCTCTGTATATCTAGAAAACCTAACTAACCTAACTATAAGTTCTGACTATTATAGGTCACTATACACAATCTGTATTTAATTATGCACTACATTTTAAAAGATTAGTATAAACACAATACTTAAACAAGAGGAGAAATATATAAATAACAAAATTTAACTAAAATTTGTATCAATAAATGAAAATCCATACCAATACAAAGTATTCATTTCTATATCATATTCCTTTTTTCCATTTAGAAAGAGATTGACAGTGATAATTACCATTTATAAGCAACCCCATTTAAGTGAAAACAAAATTTACAAAGAGGAGATTCTATTAACTATTTAGGTTATAAAATAGATCTACAGATAATTAGACCACAGATAGTACAGATCAGGAGAGATCGTTACCAGACTCTTAACGATCATCAAAAACTACTAGGAGAAATTTCTCAACTACAGACAATTATTGGAGTAGAAGGGCATGATTTGAAACACCTAAAAATTGACATAAATAGTTCACGAATATTATCAGCTGAGGCTGAAAAAGAATTAGAGTGGGTAAAAAAGAGAATACTAGAAGAACACGTGGACCATGTAGATCCAAAACTAGACTGTATTCTGGTTATTTTACCATCTAGAGAATACCCCTCAGGGATTTTTAACGCAGAGGGAAGATATCATATTAGAATGAGTATTTCTGCCACATAAACAGAATTTAAAAACTGAAGACATATATAGAAAAGATCACTGATTTGATTTTAAAAGTCTTCATCAACTAACTGGAAGGGACCCAACAGAAATTATTGTACCTTTAACTAATAAAGAAATTTCCTCCTTATAGAAAGATAATAAATATTGGCTAAGGGCTTGCATTAACTTTTTGGGAACAATTAGTAACAATTATCCCAAAACAGAGAGAATCAAATTCATAAAGAAAAAAATTTGGATCCTCCCACATATTGTAAGAAAAATGCCAATCTCTGGAGTTCCTACATTCTACACTGATGCAAACAAGTCAGGATAGGCAGGTTATAAATCAGGAAATAGAAGTAGTTCAAAGCCCTTACAACTCTGTACAAAGGCAGAGTTGTACACCATTCTCATGATACTTATGGATTTTACAGAGCCTCTCAATATAGTTACTGACTCGCAATCTGCAGAGAGAGTTGTCTTTCGCATTGAGACCGCTGAATTTATTCCTGACCATATGGAATTAATTCATTGTTTATACAATTGCAGGAAATGATCAGGAATAGAACTCATCATATATATATGTCACACATCAGATCCCATAAGGGTCTGCCAGGTCCTCTAGCACAAGGTGATGATGAGATTGATTGTTTATTAATAGGAAGTGTGCTAGAAGCTTTAGAATTTTATAAAAAACGTCATGTTAATAGCAAAAGCTTACAAAAGGATTTTTCTATCACTTGGCAACAAGTCAAGGAAATAACTGTCCCACCTGTTCATCCTATAATCAAACTCCATTATCAGTAGACAGTAGTCCCAAAGGTATTTGCAGAAATGAAATTTGGCAAATGGATGTGTTTCACTTTCAAGAATTTGGAAGTTTAAAATATATGCACCATACCATAGACACATTTTCAGGATTCCAATGGGCTACCACTCTTAGCTCTGAAAAGGCTGATTCTGTTATTACACACCTCTTAGAGGTGATGGCTATCATGGGTATACCTGCACAAATAAAAATTGACAATGCTCCAGCATATGTCTCTAGAAAATTGGAAGTTTTTCAAATATTATAACATAAAGCACATACCTTATACCATAAATTCCACATTACAAGCAGTGGAAGAGAGATCTAGCCACACTTTAAAAGAAATGCTCCATAAACATCAAGGGGAAACAAAGACCCCCAAACACAGATTATATAATGCTTTATTAACATTAAACTTTTTAAATAATAATATGAAAGAACAAATAGCTGCAGAAAGACACTGGACTACAGAAAAAAACTTCTGAACTAAATTGGCCAGTGTATTTCAAGGATATAATGACCTCAGTGTGGAAACCAGGATATGTGTTACATTGGGGGAGGGGTTTCACCTTTGTTTCCACAGGAGAAGAAAAGCTTTGAATTCTATCAAAATTGATCAAAATTCATTCCGAACAGGAGAAACCTTGTGAGGAGGATAGATGACAGCTCATCCACAAAGTCATATTCCATGAGGTATATGGAGACCTCACAAAGGAAAGGAAAGTGTTTTGTTCTGGTCTTCACAGGAAAACCATCTCTAAGCAGTGAGAAGACAGTGAACATGTAGATACCTAAAGAAGGGAGGATGGCTACCCAAAGAACCATCAAACCAAGAAGAATCTAACATTTGGTATCAATGTCTAATTCTCTTAACTTTGTCCTTTTAATATCTGTTTCTCTTTACTTCCTAATACTCTTTTGTTCCCAATTCACTTAAACCAAAGCTGGCTTTGGAGTTGGATTTGACTCTTTTCCTCTAAATCCAAGCATGTTGTTAAAATAAAATTCAGAGATTCTGTATTATATAAAGGAGCCAATTGATGTAAGACAGAAGAAAACAAAATCTAGGGACTGTCATCTGTTTATGCTCGGTTCTTTCTCTGAAAGTCTAATTTCCCCTCATATTTACTATCTTCCTTATTGTTGCCTTTCCCTGTACACATACATGTAAAAGTTGAAATTTCTTTGTTGACATTAATGTTTGAATTTTCCACAGAGAACAAAGAATTTCCTAACAGCACTCTTCAAAAAACATCAGAAAGAAAATGGGGCCCCACTTCATTGACTCCACCTGATCTGACTTGATGCACCTGAACTGACAATTACCATCCTGAAACCGGTTTGGGACTACATCATTTTACACAACTCCAGACTAATTAACTGATATGGTTACCTTCTACAATCTGTCCAGAGCCTCAGACAAGAGCTTCAATCAACATTAGAACTTCAGTCAAGAACTTCATTCATGCATCTCCCATCAAACGGAGACTGGGTACACATGTTGTAGATAGTCTACTTGAGACTTATACTACACTAACATTTTCTTCCTACAGGATCCCATGAGGTTATCATTGTACCATTCCAGCAGGAAGTAATTTTAAGAATACTATACCCCCTTTTCCTACTGTTGATATTACAGGATAATTTATACCTGTTAGGGTTAGCTTTCAATTATTTAGGGTTGGGATTGGAAGAAGGTGTTCAGACTTGGGCACCTCTTTCAGATAAGTTTATGGTTTAGATGGGATAGATATGCTTAGGATACGATATAGGTAGAATATAGTTTGTTTATCACCTTCTATGTATATATGCTTTATATATATTTGAGACAATTTAGTTTGTTTCAAGTCTAAATCTTTTCTTTAGATTAAAAGGAGAATTGTAGTTAGGGATGTCATGTACCCGATGCACTGACCATGCGGGTTTGGGTATGGTCACAGGTACATGGGGAGAGGCAGAGATAAAGGTCAAGGAAGGAGGGGTGGTCACACGCTCTCTTGGGGCTGCAGTCGACGTCTGAGACCAGCAGAGCGCTGACCTCAGTTCTTGGCTTCTCATGTAAGTGACTTCTCTCTTTCTAATAAAGTATCGTATGACTCCCCTTCCCAGTATACTTGGTGTTGCTCGTTATCCATGTTCAGTGGTGTGATGGTTAATTTCAGCTGCCATCCTGACTGGATCTGGAATCATCTAAAAGGCAAGCCATCAGGTCCTCCTTTGAGTTTCTTGCTCACGCTATTGGGAAAGACTTACCCTAAATATGAGTGGCTCTGGTGGTGTAACTGAGGAAGCAGGGAGTTTCTTGGGTGAGCCGTATTCCACCTGAGCCTTGAAGGTGGGAAGGGATTTTTACAGAGCTCTGTGAGAAATGGGAAGAGGTGGTTATGGAGGGGAAACTAAGTCAAAGTCACAGCTACCCTTCAGACATTTTGTTTGGGAAACCGCACTGCGGCAAAGCTTCTGTGTACCGGCAAGAGTTCTAGGCTGATCCGCACTGTCTGCTTTCTCACGAGGCTCCAATGTGCTTGCACCTGCCTTTGAGGTTCATATAGGAGAGTCTGTGACATGGGCAGGGATGGGAGACCCTTGAATATAGATGCTTGGAGATAATTTACCAAAAGCCTAAGCCTAGGATTCATTTATTGCCAAACTGGTTTAAAAGTGAAAGCAAAACAAGACTTTAGAATTTGCTTTATTTCCTAATTTGCCATGAGGTTGATAATCTTTTTTTTCTTTCTTTTTAAAAAAATTTAAATTAGTCCGGGCAGTGCTGGTGCACACCTTTAATCCCAGCACTCGGGGGGGGGGGGGGGGGGGGCAGAGGTAGGCGGATCTCTGTGAGTTCGAGGCTGGGCTGGACCGACAGCCTCCAAAACAATACAGAGAAACCCTGTCTCATAAAACCAAAAAAAATTTTAAATTAGAAATATGCATGATTTAGATATCAATCCCAGCCTTCTCCCTCTCCTCCTCCCCTGCCTCTCCCCACCAGGCCCTCCAGCGCCTCCCCCAATCCCCACTCTGTTCCCCAGAGAGGGTGAGGCCCTCCATGGGGGATCTCCAGAGTCTGTCATTTCATTCAGGGCAGGGCCTAGGCCTTCCCCCAAGAGTCCAGGCTGAGAGAGCATCCCTTAATGTGGGATGGGTACCCAAAGTCCATTTGTATGCCAGAGATAAATACTGATCTACTACCCAAGGTCCCATAGATTGCCTAGGCCTCCTCACGGACACCCACATTCAGGGGATCTGATGATCTTTTAATAAGAAGAAATAACTCTTTAGGACAACTGGAGTGAGACCCTCATCCTGTGTTGCATTTTATGGATTCAAAGCTGAGATGAAGGGTTAGTCTCGTCTTGCTTGGCTCAAATGATGCATAGTTCTTTAATCAGATACACAGTAAAGACTCCTGAGGTTATGTTTTCATCTTAAAATTAAAACCATGAGAAGCACATGGATCCAGGTTTTCCTGAGTTTCAGATAAGGTTAACATTTATCTCAATAGACAGGGATTCATTTGTTCTTTCATTCATTCATTCATTCATTCATTTTGAGAAGGGTACCAATGTCCCTGGCTGGCCTGGAACTCACTATTTAGAACAGGATGGTCTCAAATTCAAGGAGATCAATTTGTCTCTGCCACCCAAGTGCTAAGATTAAAGGTGTGCATTACCACACTCAGTGTTACCATTTGTTAAGTGTTGGGTGCTGAATTTGGGTGAGGTGTGAGAGAATCATCTTGAAGTAGAACCATACTTGGCAAGTCTAAATGAGTGCAATTATTCTAGAAAGAAATACCTGAGGTAGGAAGACAGATTTCCCAGCAAGGCTTTCCTCATCTCTGGTATCTGGAAGCAGCATTGCTGGAAATGGCTCCTGCTGGGTGCAGGGGTTCTGTAGTTATGGAAGGGGAAGGAGCAGGCTTCACCTTAGTAGATTTCACCAAGCAGCTTGAGCCTCCTGTCCTCTCCGTGCCATCTCTAGTATCTTGGTGGTGCTGTGATGGGGGAAATGCTGATACAGCTCTGCCTGTGGTTGAGATTTCTGACTCTGTCTCTTCACTCCCTAAAAGAGAATCCCTGTCAAGCAGCAAGCTTCCCTTGGGCTTTCATGTGGGCTCTGGGTGGAGGCAGGTCGGTGTGAGAGGTACTGGCCTCCCCTTCAGTCAAGGTATTTGGACTGTCTCAATTCCAGAAATCTATGATTCTCCATGGTGACAGGTCAAATCAGAATCTAAGTTTTTACACTGAAACCATGCCAGTGGACTTCAGTTGCTACATATCTGTTTCTTTCTGGGGTACTGAGCATAGCTCTCCAGCACTGATCTCTGACCATTCCACGATTACCATTCAACTCTGTCACTCTATGTAGAAGTATGCCTACATGATGTTTGTTGGTTAAGCACACCAGTACCCTGTCACCTAGACACCCACCATCCCCTTTCATTTGAGATTTCAATCTGAAGGTCACAATCTCACCATGTCTCCTCAGCTACAAAGAACATCTCAGCAGGACTCTTCAAAGACACTTGTGCTTTTCACGGATGCATTTCTCTAATTCTTGGAAGAGAAAGTACATTCTGGAACTTACCAAGGAAAGCAAGAGGGTGGGGAGTGAACTCACAAGGTAAGCATTCTCTAGCATGCCCTTCTCCCCGAGATTTCAAGAATCTTCTGTAATCAGTGACACAAAGTTTTACTTTAGGTATCTAAATAAGGAGCAATGTAGGAAGAAAGGAAATAAATGGTAACTGTTTAATATGATGATCATAAGCAGTGAGGTAAAAAAAGAATTAACTTGAAAACAATGGGGAAATAAACAAGAGTTATATACAAATATTAAATGATTTTAGATCACCATAAAACACCACAAAATGTTCTTTAGGATATATTGGAATTCAAGGTGAAGGTGTGTACATAGCATAACACCCATTATTTAAGAAAGGATTTATAAAACACATGTATGTACTCTGCACTTCATTAAATATTTGTAACAATGAAAGCAAGACCCACTGAATATTGAAAAGCATGAGATGCAGTAAAGATTGTCCTTGCTTTAGGATTTAACTTTTAAACCCAGAAAAGTGCTTACATATTAGAAAACACAGTTGGTAGATATTTCCTTTTTCAAAAACTTAAAAACTGATAACTGTATGGATGCTGTTTGTGTTTTTGATATTTGACTGCTTCATAGGAAAATTGTGTTGTGGGGTTAGCACATTTGGCAAATGTCTTTGTCATTGACAAGTGTGGTTTGGGACACTGAGGACAGTGATACAGAGATAAGATAAATGAAATTAAGTACTGTATTCTTGAACTTGAACTAGAGGTATCAGCATGAATTTGTGGTGTGTTTCACCTTTTAAAATGTGTACCCATGTATAAATGACTCCCACTAATAGTGAATTGATTTTCCATGGGCTGAAATTCATTCATTCATTCGTCTCTTTCTGTTTTCTTCTACTATCTCTTTCTCTGTGTTTTCTTTCTGTACTTTGAGATGACTTCTATACTGTATCGCTCAGCTGGAGCTCACTATGTAGCCAAGGTTGGCTTCAAACTCATGGAAATTCTCCTGCCACAGTCTCCTAAGTACTGGTATTAAAGATGTGTACCACCAAATATAGAAATATCCTTATCAACAAAAACTGGAAAAACTGAGAAAAAACAAAACAACCATTTGAACTTTCAAGTTTGTAGGACTTAAGTGTAAGTGGAAAAAAATTCAGAATAGAAAAGTCTGTGCATGAGAAGCTGGACTGCATTGTTACTTCTCATGACTGCTGATGGTCAGTGGTATAAGAGTGCAGCGCAGAAGAAGGGCATCTCAGAAGTTGGGAAGCAGAGGTGGATTTTATAGCATGTCCTAGAGAAACATAAATGGGAGGGGAAGGTGAAACAAGAAGGCAGAGTGCTGTTATTTCTGAACTTCCATCAGAGATTCCCAAAAGGCTGTTATGCTCAGAGTGAGGGTGAGTCAGCACTCAGAAAACATCACAACCAAACTTTAGACTCATCCCCAGGAAGATTAAGGTAAGCTGTTTTTATTTCATTTCTGCTCCAAGGCAAGATCTTCTGGGAAACACTAACCATAACAACACCTCATCATAGTCAGCCAAAGTTTAATGGAACATAGGATGAAATGGCAAGACTAAGAGAAAAATATCAAAAGAAGAAAATAGACCTGCATATGATAGAGATAATAGCAAGTTTAGAAACAAACATGGAGCTGTTACTAATAAATCAAGAAAGGAAAGGCAAGTAAATTCTCCAGGG